GATAGATATAGTAGCTAAACCATACAATATCTTACCTTTCTTCTTCGTCCATGTTTATTCAATGGAATATTGATTCAACATAGTATTAAATGTACATGGATTGGGTTTTTTCAGTGAACATTCTAAAGAGGAACAGAAATTGGACTTGAGACTTCAGTTATAAGCAAAAGAATAAAACATTCGAATAAATAAGGTGATTCTTTGACCTGTTTTACACATCACTGCACAGCTGTACAGCAAAACAAACTGACTGGAAGTTACTATCTAGAACTTAGTGGAGAGGGGACTGGGGAGGGAAAAAGGAAAGGGGAGGAAGATTGGGGAAGAGGAGAGTCCCCAGTTCCCTCTCATTCCCTTTTTCCCTCCCCAGTCCCCTCTCCCTTCTCCAGAGGGTCGCTACGCAGGCTAACTTAGTGTACCTTCTTACTTCGCGTAGAGGACACATTACGTAATTCAATAGCTAGCCACAACATCACCTCCGTCACATCAGGAGCTTTCTTCGTATTTACAAAGAAAATTCCGAATGTGACGCAGGCTAGCCACAACAAGACTCCAAGTTATACAACAGAATGAAGCTAACGCGAATAAAATGAACGTGGCTGTGTTTTCGCTAGGACTAAACTAGTTTAAATACAACACCGGAAATAAGGCAAAGTTAAACTATCTAGCAAGGTGACTGCCTACTTTTGATAGTTTGATTTGAGCCAACGATGTGCGCGCGCTCAAAAACCACTAATAAAATCTACAAGATCTTATCGAAGTGACCATACGCGTTTTGAGCTTCAACAGGGCAAAACCCTCAAATTATGCATGGGACTCTCTATTTTTTAATAGCTTGTTTGAATAAACTCGTAAAAATCTAGGTTATCGACATTTTAGAAAAGTTAATATTTCTGACACATGAAAACATAGATTTTTGTGGGGATTTTTGTTCGACTTTATGAGATTTAAGAGCACCGAAACTACGAAACATAAATCGATGTATCTCTTTGTCTCATTTTAGAATGATTGACTAGTAGCAAATAACTATTATCTTATGGATCTTTTTTTTTTTCTTATCACTTCCGGTGGCGCAAGGTTTGCTCAAAAAGCTTGCTATACCGATTATCTCGAAAACAAACCTGGAACACCCGGATAATTGAAGTTTTTTTTAAAAAAGTATATTTTTCCAAAAGTAGGCAGTCACCTTAAGTTGCCCTACGAAATTAATGGGTCAATAGGCCAATCAGTGTTTATCCTTGAAAGGTGGTTGTCRGATTAAAACACCCAGGAATTTTACGCAAGTTAACATTTCTAGTGAAAACACAGCCATTGTCTCCATTTCAGTCTAAACAACGGTTGAAATTCGACGCATGAACAACATGTAGAAACAGTCAAAACAAACAATCAAAATGTTTCCATTAATTCGCAATTCGCTGTAAAAATATGCTTTTTTGTTTGATCAAATAAAATTATTTATATGGCTGCAGGAGGAGTGGAGGCACTTCAGCCCCTTTTGTCCCTCCCTGGATCCACCCCTGTTTATATCCTGACAGCGAGAGCTTTATACAATATATAAACAGTATATACCCTGCACTGTGTAACTTAACTTAAGATGTTCCACATGAGTACCGTTAGCCAAAATGCTAAACATACGCTTATTCCTTTGTTTAAGAAGACTAAACATTTTGCCTATGAGCTTGTCCTATACCAAACAAACCTAATGTACGATTTGAATAACAATATTGCTCCACCAAATATATG